TATACAATAAACGTTTTCCTATGCCTTGCTATACTATTTTGTTTTTATGCCTTACTATACAATGAAGTTTTTATAACTTACTATACTCTTGACGTTTTTATGCCTCCACTATACTATGTTGTTTTTTTGCCTTACTGTTCTATGTTGTTTTATGCCTCACTATACTATTGTGTTTTTTTTGCCTTACTGTTCTTATGACATTTTCTATGCCTTACTATGCTATATTGTTTGTTATGCCTTACTATACTATGGTGTTTTTCTAACTCACTATACTGTGACGTTTTCATGCCTTACTATACTATGTTGTCTTTTATGCCTTGCTATACAATGTTGTTTTTATAACTCACTATACAATGACATTTTCATGCCTTACTGTGCTATATTGTTTGTTATGCCTTGCTATACTATTTTGTTTTTATGCCATACTATACTATGACATTTTTTGAAATTTTTATTCCATACTTTACTATGATGTTTTTTGGAATTTTTATTACTTACTTTACTATGACATTTCATGCATTACCATACCATGATGTTTTTATGACTTTCTATACCCCAATATAGTATGATGTTTTTTTTATGTTTTACGCCTACTATACTATGGCATTTTCATGACTTACTATACTACAATGTTTTTATTACATTTTTATGCCTTACTATACTATGAAGTTTTTATAACTTGCTATACTATGATGTTTTTTATGCCTTACTATACAATAACGTTTTCTATGCCTTACTATGCTATATTGTTTGCTATGCCCTACTATACTATGGTGTTTTTTGCCTGACTATTCTATGTTTTTTTTATGCCTAAATAAACTATGAAGATTTTATAAATTACAATACTATGACGTTTTTTGGTATTTTTATGATTTACTATACTATGACGTTTTTTGGCATGACATTTCATGCATTACCATACTACCATACTATGACATTTCATGCATTAGCATAGTACGATGCTTTTTTCACTTTTTATACCTTAGTATAGTAAGATGTGTTTTTGACAATTTTATGACATGGTATACTATGATGTTTTTTGGAATTTTTATGACTTATTGTACTCTGTTGTCTATGCCTTAGCATAGTATGATGTTTTTATGACATTTCATGCCTTACTATACTATGACTAATATACTACTGACTATACTGTGTTGTTTTTATAACTCACTATACTGTGACGTTTTCATGCCTTACTGTGCTATATTGTTTGTTATGCCTTGCTATACTATTTTGTTTTTATGCCATACTATACTATGACATTTTTTGAAATTTTAATTCCATACTTTACTATGATGTTTTTTGGAATTTTTATTACTTACTATACTATGACATTTCATGCATTACCATACTATGATGTTTTTATGACTTTCTATACCTTAATATAGTATATATGACATTTTTTGGCATTTTTTTGTCTTACTATACTATGTTGTTCTATACCTTATTGTTTTTTTTGCCTTACTATACTATGAAGTTTTTGCCTTACTATACTATATAGTTTTTTGTGCATTACTATACTATGATGTATTTTTGCCTTACTATACTGTTTAATTTTTATGCCTTATTATACTATTTAGTCTTCACGACTTACTTTACTATGACGTTTTTTTATGCCTTACTATACTATGACCTTTCCATGACTTACTATACTACGCGTTTTTTATGCTTTACTATACTATACTTAATATACTATTGTTTTTATTACTTACTATTGTATGTTGTTTTTATGACTTGCTATACTATGTCCTTTTTTGATTTACTATACTATGACGTTGTTTATAAGCTTGTATATGGAAGGCATTTTGCATTTTATGACTAAAGCAGGAAACCTTTCCATTGTTTCTATAAACCATGAAGTTTATTTTCAGACGTGGTGGCATTTCAGATGTGACCTCTGGGACAGGGCAGAGCCACCTGGAGTAATGAGTGTTGTCCAGACCAAACTGAAACCAAGATGTCAGTGTTTTTAACAAGCTACAGCTACTTTAACACCTTGAAATGGTAGGGTCTGCAGTCCCCCTGCAAAATTGGTGCTCTAAGCAAAATAATGATACATGGCCAGAGCAGCAAATACGCATCTTTATGCAATTTCAGCAAAGATAGACATGGTTATAATGGAAAACTGGGGCAAAAACTGGAAAAATTAAATGCTTAGGTCAATGACCTCACAAGATCAGTAGAGGTCAGATACAAATTGCCTCCACGTTTGAAATAAAACCTTGGGGTATGTAGATTATGCACTGAAACTTTCATGCTTTAGTCATAAAATGCACTGTTGTTTTGCCTACCTGCCCAACTAATATGTTAGAGCACCAATTTTATGGAACACCTACGATGCAAAATACAAAGACCAGTTTAATCATAATATGGTAACACTGACATGAATGTACATTGTGTAGAAATTCCGTCTTGATTTAATTCTTTTCTTTTGCAGAAAGCAGATCCCCTGATGTTCATGAACCAAAATCTGGTCATGTGTAACAAAGATGTGGGGAATTGAACATTATCAAAAAATAGTGCAACTTTAATCTGCATTTTTAGAACACTAATATAACCCTGGTTAAGGTTGAGGCAACTAAAACCATTCCAGCTAGACAGCTAAAACTGCTCATTTACTTTTGTTTGGGTCACAGATCTTTACATAAGAACAGCCAAAAATATGTACTGTTCGTTACTGCACTCAGGAGTCAAGCTTTGTCTTGACTTGGTAACACAAACCAAATAACCTGAGCTGTCATTTTATCTGCACATCTAAAACCAGACTCCAACATTCAAGGTTTTGTCTGCGTCTGGGTAAATCTCCTCTAACTAACCTACATGCATCCGAACAGTGCTAGGTATGTCTGTATATGTGGGGGAGGGATAGCAAATGAGGCAGATCAATTTGTAATCCATACACACCAGTAGCTTCCAACACTGGAGTGCAACTATGTATTAGAGGAACTCACTGCAGCTTCACCCCCCCCCCCCCCACCCCCCCCCCTCATAGAGACACACAACACACACACACACTGATGACTTGTATTCAGGTCAGCTTTCATACATTTTGGTTAAGAGTTGTGATATTTAAGCTGATATTCAATATGTATGACTATGTATGTGTGTCTACGTAAAATTAAACAGACTGTCATAAACAGACATTTCCATGAATCCAGTAAAGTCGTTTTAAAAATGTAAAGTATCAGTATCAGAATGTGGAAAGTTTCGGTTTTAAGAAGCTGTGTTATCTCCTGTATTGATGTTCTTCCTCATTAGAGTCCGTGAGTGCTTGAGCTTCTGTCTTTGCACTGTGATCTGTACACGGCTCACAAACTTACCAGTCATCAGTCGCACCTCCCTGCTCTCCATTTTTTTCAAGTATTGATCCATCAGACTCATCTCCCTTCCAAAATTACTATTGATCCAATGCCACCATTTCTGTTTTCATCATTTAAAAACAGCTACTACCAGGCAATAAGATACAACACATATGCACACTGTGCATATATATTTGTGTGTGTGTTTTTGTGTGTGTGTACCTGACTGCAGTGGTGCTGAAGGAGGCAGAGGAGCGGGTGGAGATGTAGGGGTAGTGTTTGGTGTCCAGCTTATCATCAATAGCATCCTGCAGGGTGAGAAAAGTACAAAACAGATCTTTGTAAGCCACATTGTCTGCCTTATATACACGGACACACACACATACAAACACACTTGAATAGGGGCTTCACAGTTTGCAACACGTCTCTTAGCAACCGTGTGTGGTTGAATAATGGAGGTCCATTGAAGAATTGGCTTTGCACAAATAACGGGTTAAACACAGTCGATGACAGAGAGGCTGTTAAAATAGATGTTTGACTCAGGTTGTAGTGGGAGTGAGTCGACTGAAAAGTAAACAGTTCAACTCAGATGGATTCGCTTGCTGTTTAAGATTCGTGATTTAGGTTTGCATGAGGAAAAAAAAAAACATGTCTATAGTGGAGACAGCAGGTTAAGTAAAGCCCTTTTTATGTAAAAATAAATAACATATACAAAAATGTAGGATAGGTGAAATGGTGATTGAAGCCCTGCAGACACACCTCCATGATGTCCTTGACCAGTGGTGTCCAGCGGGACAGCTGGTAGGTCTGCTCGCTCACACGCTCCTTCCTGTCCAGCTTCTTTCCTCGGCGGAGGGTGGACTGACGATCGAGAGAAGAAACAAGGATAAATAATCATCGGAATCACCTGTGTGTCTCTCACACACACCAATCTGGAAACTGAACACAAACTGTTCTGTGAAACCGGCTTTTATCAGCAGCTGCATGTCACGTGTCCAGGCAGCCACTGTCAGTCAAGTACAATAGAAATGATGTTGCAGAGACGCTTGATTGTGAGAGGTAATCCATCACTGTAAACATTTAGTCATTTTCCTTCCTGTCAAAGTTATGTTACTGTTACTGTGGGTGGTAACTGCAGATTGATAGGAGGAGCACTCTGAGTTTGGTCATCTCTTGGATTGAAAATGTTTCACATTGGCCACATCAACAAATTTCCTCCCGGACTCGAACACACCATTGTGACAGACTTTGAAACAGTCTGTGCTTTAAACAGCTATGACATAATGCAGCATCAACAAGCAGCTACATCTACATTTCATGGAGACAGATTACCCATCTTAAGGAAACTGATATCCAGCACATAAACTGAAGGCAGAAAGTTAATAAAAACATGTTCAGTAATTCAAAAAGCTATGCTACAATATTGGAAATCAATGGAAGTCATGTAAAGAATCCACAGCTCCATTTGTGGTAAATGAAGCTGTAACAACAGCAACAATAGTGTGACTCTGTAAGTCTCATTACTATTAGGACATCAAAGAAGAGATGGTCCATTTACAGATAAGAGTAAAGACTGAGAGGGCACGTCAAAGCAAAGTGATGACTGATAGACCTACAGACTGAAAGAAAAAGCACAGAAGAAGAGACAGAAGAAAAACAGATAAAAGAAGACGGTTCAACATCTTACATCTGTGATGATGGGGACGCCCAGGTGAGCCATGTTGGTGATGATCTCACTGTCCTCAGGTGGGATCTGAGCATGCTGGATCAGCTTGTTCAGATTCTCCTCTGTAATACCTGCACACACACACACACACACACACACACACACACGTCATATTAAACAACTGCATGACTTGTTTACATTTAATATGTTCAACCTATTCTGTTACGAGGGGGAATTCATGTTTTGCTACTTGAGAGCAAAAATAAAATAATTTCAATTTGATATCACTGCACTTCCTGTTACTTAACTTCAGCAGCTTATTACAACAGCGCATGTCAGTGTTTTTCAGTCTTTTTTCTATCTGTATCTTGTGAAACATCATTTGCACAAGCTTGTGGTGGACAGGTGACTTGCTGAAGTTCACATCAGGCTGTAGTGGTTCCCAGGGTTCAACAGGGACCACTTCACCAGCATTGAAACAGAGTTTTATAAACTTAAGATTTGATGTCGCCTGTGGTCTCCTCCTCACCGTTCTTGAGGAAAATGTAGAGCAGGATGATGCGGATCTTGTCATATGTGCTGACGTTGGCGTCCAGCAGGATGGGCACAATAGCCCTCATGGGGTCTTTGATCTTCTCTCCCTCAGCGTCTGTTCCCATTGCCAAATCCTGCAACAGAGAACTCAGGTCTCATACAGTGTTTGTCATTCAGATGGTGTGAGAGGCACAAAATCCTCCAGGACACGTTTCCAGAGACTAAAGCAAAAGCTTTTTATTTTTGATTCAATAAAGGAAGCATTTTTAAGATGACTGCATAATTTATCTGTGTGTAAGAAACACATTTACAGTACAGTATGACATAGTGAAATTCATGTACAATGCTCTACTCTCATCGTTTCCTCTCACCTGTTCCACACGGCACAGCTTGTCCACTGTTCCCTGGTAATGCTTCATGCAGTCCTCAGCCAGCTGCAGGTGAGTGGAGTACTGGAGAAGACAAAACGCACAGACTCAGCAGACACACTCACTCACACACACACACAACCAGGTAAACGTAGAGGTGACCACACTTACCTTGCTGAGCTCCTTCTGGTACTGAGGCATCTTCTTCAGCATCTGGGACAGATCCCTCATTGTGGTCTGTTGAGACAAAAAGCAACACAGATTTACACGATAACACCTGAAACACCAGCGTGATGATGTCACCAACAGTGTAAGACATCATAAGATAAAAGACTAAATTTTTGGTAGCAGATATTTATATTTACATTGGTTTAATCACATAGTGAGTAGTTGTTGCTCGGCACTTGAAGGGTTTAGTTTTAAAAGTAAATGTCAACCATTTGGGAACAGAAACAGCTCATAAACATAAAGCAGCTCTGTTCTCAAGTCTTTCATGACCAGCTGGATTGAACTTAATAACACTGGATGATGAACTTCAAGGCAATCCTGTGCGGAAGTTCGCCCTTAGCTAAACATGTGTAAAACACTGAAACAAAAGATGAAAATCACAAAATCACAAACCTCAGGATTCATTTGTTTTCCTCTACCAACTGAAATTAAATAAGTGAAGACATAATATTCAACTCAATTCTGGTGAGATTTTCTGAGTCTATTCAAAGGAATAGTTCAACATGTTGGGAAATATGCTAATTTGCCTCCTTGCCAAGAGTTAGATTTGAAAACTGACACCACACCCATGTTTGTACTTTGAATATGAAGCTAGTTTTACAAGGCTATCTGTTTCCAGTCTACTGTAAATGCTATGCTAAGCTAATCACCTGCTGGTTCCGGCTTCATGTCCAATCACCAGACATGAGGGTGGTATCGATATACAGTATACTGCATATTTCCCAAAATGCATTACTATTCCTTTAGGCGAAAAGAGCTATTTCATATTACAAAGTTACTGAACATACACCCTGTTTATATACTGTCTAATCTAATAGTGTTTGACTCTTTTTTCCCCCCCACACTGAATTTGTTTACTTTGCCATGCACAAGCAATCAAAACAAGAATTCAAGAGTTTCTGAGAAATGAAAGAAAAGATCTTTCTTGTTAAATGATGCTGTTGTGTCAGTACTGTATGTTCAGACTCTACCAGTTTCCTCTTTACCTTCTCTCCAGTGTTCATCCTCTTGCTGGAGGAAAAGTCCTTCAGCTGGCGTGTCACTTCCCTGAAAGACAGAAACACACAGAGCAAAGGAGGCACATTAACACATGAGAGAAGTGTTTGAGCATTGCTTTGTTCAGTATCAACAGACTGATTGAACACATGTAGAAAGTGTGAAGAAAAACAGATGTACTCACTGGGACACCTCAGCTATGTGTTTGTGTCTCAGGCTCACCCACAGGTCATCGTCTTCATGCAGAAGCACTTCCTTCTCACGAGAGTCTCCGATGCCACTGGTCTCATACCTGAAGGAGAAAAAAAGACGTAATTAAAACTTTAACAAAGCCCTCACAGTCATTTATCTGTTTCGTCATTGTGTTTTTCGTACTTGTAGACGTCGTTTTCGATGGGCAGCAGGTCATAGCCCATGGCCTGGAAGGTGAGCTCATGCAGGACAGGTGAGACGGGGTCAAACGCCCTGTCCAGGATGATCAGCTGTGAGCGAGCCTTATCTGGACCCTACAGAGAGAGAGAGAGAGAGAGAGAGAGAGAGAGAGAGAACGAGATACAAGAATGACGAGAGAAGACAGAACAAATCAAAAAGCAGGAGCAAATGAACAAGCTGACCTCTCCCATGGTGGGGTCGTCAGCCTTGTAGGCGTCCAGTTTGTCTTGAACCAGCTGGGCCAGGGTGGCGTTGTCCTTGTACTCCCTGACAGAATGACGGACAGATGGACGCATGGTCAGATGGTCGGACAAATGGAAGCATATGGAGGCAGACATGAAAGGGCAGACATAAAAAATAATTGTGAAGAGGAGAGGGAAGGAAGACAAGATTGACGTTCAAACAGGCAGATGAGACAAAACAATAAAGAAAGACAGTAAAAACATTGACAGGTGTGTAACAGCTCTGTCCCTGCCGCAGGTTCCAGAGGACACTGGTCCCAAAGCGGAAACATTAATTTTGGTAACCATGCTGAATCAGTACTGTAACAGTCACATTTGCTGACTCTTTACGAAAACGGACATTAAATGATCTACAACGCCTTCTGAGCCTTTGCAGCACCATCAGTTTTCTCCTCCCACACATCTCTGTGCAGAAGCCTTTTGCATTAAGCACGTAACTGACAGCAACAAACAAAAGTCACGTCTATTTTACAGCAGCAGTCCAGCAGAAATGCATCATGATGCAAAACACATCATTAATAATGACACTAATATACAACTGATGTGTGTTATTAGACAGCAAAAAGTGTTCCATTTTTACCTTAAATAGACAAAATTAAATGGACAAATAGAAACGTGTCTTAATGTTCTTGGCTGAAATGACAGCAGAAAGCCTCAGTGAACCCCTCCTCACTGTAGCACCCATGACTCCCCTCAACACCTTATCTGTCCAAAACAGTTATTTCCTCGAATGCCTTGAGATGCTAATGATGACCAGCCTGTACCCAGGGCTGCTCCCTGCTGCTCACCCTCGGTATCTGACGGCAGGGTACTCCTTCAGGGTGGCGCAGAGCGTGGCCAGCTGCTCAGCCAGCCTCTCCATCACCGGGTTCTTCAGCTGGGTCTTGTGGGGGCTGTAGAAACTGTGGAAGGCATCTGGATTGTCCAGAGAGTACACCTGCACACACATACACGCGTGCGCACACACACACGCTCACACACACACACACAAACACACACAAACACACACATTTACACTTTGCTCCAACAGAACTGTTTGCTGCTTTCCTACTGTAGCTGATTGAAGCTTTTTCACCTTCTTCTCTTATGTAATGTGCACAGTCATGTGTATTTGACAGGAACTGATTCCATGATGCAAACGTTGATTTCACCATGACAACAGATTATATTAATCATACAGTGTCTGTGTGAAAGTCAGCAGGTCAGTGTGGAAGGACTCTTGTATATCGTCTCCTCTGTCGTTATCTCTTCTCCTCTCTTTGTTTTTATGCTCTTTGTTTTGACACTTATCACTTCTCTAATAATAATAACTAATCGCTTCTCCTTTGTCTGCCTCCTCTCCTCTCTCATTCCTTTCCTCTCTCATTTTCTTTCCTCCTCTGTGATTTTCTTGTTCCTCGGTTTTTCTATCCTTTTTCCATGTCTCCTTTTTTTCTCCCCTCCTCCCTTTTCCTCTCCATTCATTACCTTGTTTGCTCTCCTTCTCTCCTCTCTCTCTCATCTTCTCTGCCTGCTCTCCTAACTTCTTCTCTTCTCCCCTATGTCCCCTTTCCTCTCTTCCTATTTCAGTTTCATCTCCCCTCTCCTCTTATTCCTATTTTCTCTTCCTCTCATTTCCTCGTCTTATGCCTCCTCTTTTCTCATCTTCTCCCTTTGTCTACCTTCCTCTCCTCTCTCCTAATCTATTCCCTCGTTTCCTCCCCTTTCCTTATTTCTCTTCTTTTTTCCAATCCTCCTCTTTCTCCCCTTGCCTGTTTATTTTTCTCCTGTACTCATCTTTCCTTGTTTCCACTCCTCTGATTTCCTCCTCTCTTCTCTCCTGCATCACTCACTACCACTCCCTCCTCCCATCCCATCTGTCCACGGTCACATGACCACACTCCTGCGCTGCAGAAGGGTCCCTACGTTCGCCTGGCTGCCATTGGCCACCGCCTCCTGTGTGGATCCTGACTCATCCAATGGGGAAAGAGCATCAGCTTGTGGGGGTGGGGCTTTAAGGCAGCATTTTGCCTGGAGCAGAAAACCACTGACTCTGAATTAATTATAGTAGACAGGAGGGGAGCAAAGCATTGTGGGCCGAGCAGCATCTTCAGATAGTGAGAGGGTAAAGGATGGACAGAAGGAGAGGTGACGGAGATAGAGAGGGGAGGATGAAGGGAGGGGGAAATTAGGAAAAAATATGGTCAGGGGGAGGGAAAGAATAAATATAAAAAGAAAGTAAATAAGAGGAAAAAATAAAAAGCTTGGTGCAAGTGGTGAGCAGAGAGAGTGCAAGCGACGTGCAAAGGCAGGGATGGAGGAATGGCGGGATGAAAAAAACAGAGGGAGGGAGGGAGGGAGGAGGAAAGACATGATAGAGGCAGGAATTTGGAAATTTGGAAATTTAGCAAGGGTGGAGAGGCAGGTGGGAGGGAGGGGAGGCGATGTGACAAGTGTGAGTGTTTCTGGAAGCGTCTGGCAGTAAACAGAGTGACTGGTGAGTCAGCAGCATTGTGCCAAGCCACCACCTGAGTGTGTGTTTGTGTTTCTCTCTCTCTCCCACTCTCCATCTCTTTTTATCCATCCCCGACGCTAACAACCCATAACCTCACTGTTGCTATTCCTGTCTGTGTCCTTTGCTGCATCTCTTTCCTCCCACCTGTCTTAATCGATCTCTCACTGCTCTTCCTCAAGCTTTCTATCTCTGAATCTCTCTCTCTCTCTTTCTCTCTCTCTCTCTCTCGCTCTCTCTCTGTGGTTTTCACTCACAACCACTAACAAACAATGAAAGTCAACCTTTCATTCACCGCCTTAAGAGGAAAAAAGAGGGGACAATAATTCAAGGGCCAGATGCATAAACGTCTCTCTCTCTCTCTCTCTCTCTCTGAACCATCTGTTTACATATTAATACTTCACTTGTCAATGAAAAGACCAGCAAAGAAGACATGCAATTTCTCTGACTGTGTCTCATTGACTCGATTCTGAAACAGCCCCCAGAACAGCCGTCACCATGCAAGACACACCTCACACACACACACACACACACACACACACACGACTGGATGTCTACCTGAGACTCGTAGGGCAAGAATGCGATGTTGATCTCCGTCAGAGTCTTTATGGTTTTGGAAGCGCGGCTCTTCACCAGCTCGTTGAACAGAGGATCAGGGCAGGCTGGAGAGGAGGGAAACAAATAGCAATAGTTTTAGTTTTATATTGTTTATGGCTGATTATTGTTCTCTCATCACGACCGAAACCTTTTATCAGAATGACGACAACTGAAGGAAAGCAGGATCTAAGGATATAATAAACAGCTATGTATTTTTGTGCAGAGGGGGATTCCAGTTGCAGTGAGGTTTTCAGAGGATGTTTGGTCACGGAAACACTACTGAGTTAACAATGTTGTGGGTGACACACGTCATTGATTTATGATGTTTGTTAGGAGATCCTCTCTTCCTGCGCTTCCTCAAACACACACTTGCCAGACTAGATTATGATTTCTAATATTATATGTGATGACTGACCGTTTAAACATTAACAGCCACAAAAATGTATTTGTCATCACTCAGGGTATACAAGAAAAAGAATCCAATCACATCGGCTGTTGGCAATTTCACAGGGTGACTATAGGACGATCTGACAATGGAAAAGATCGCACCACCTTCCCCAAAAACCACCACTCACCACCACTGAGAGCTCTAACAACTTTGAAAAAGTGTCCCTTCAAATACAGTACTGTGCAAAAGTTTTAGGCAGGTGTGCAAAAATGCTGTAAACTAAGAATTCTTTCAAAAATGGTAGTGTTAATAGTTTATTTTCATCAATAAACAAAATGCAGTGAATGAACAGAAGAGAAATCTAAATCAAATATCAATCATCATTTGGTGTGACCACCCTTTGCCTTCAAAACAGCATCAATTCTTCTAGGTACACTTGCACACAGTTTTTGAGATCCACAGATCTTGTGTGGATGTAGGCTTCCTCAAATCCTTCTGTCTGTTCATGTAATCCCAGACAGACTCCATGATGTTGAGGTCAGGGCTCTGTGGGGGCCATGCCATCACTTCTTGTTCTTCTATATGCTGAAGATAGTTCTTAATGACGTCGGCTGTATGTTTGGGGTCGTTGTCCTGCTGCAGAATAAATTTGGGGCCAATCATACGCCTCCCTGATGGTATTGCATGATGGATAAGTATCTGCCTGTATTTCTCAGCACTGAGGACACCATTAATCCTGACCAAATGTCCAACTCCATTTGCAGAAATGCGGCCCCAAACTTGCAAGGGACCTCCACTATGCTTCACTGTTGCCTGCAGACACTCATTATTGTACCGCTCTCCAGCCCTTCGGCGAACCAACTGCCTTCTGCTACAGCCAAATATTTCAAATTTTGACTCATCAGTCCAAAGCACCTGCTGCCATTTTTCTGCACCCCAGTTCCTATGTTTTCGTGCATAGATGAGTCGCTGGGCCTTGTCTCCATGTCGGAGGTATGGCTTTTGGCTGCAACTCTTCCATGAAGACCTCACCTTGGTAGCAGAGTTTGGCTGTTCCTCACCCAGTTTTAAGCCTCCTACACAGCTGTTTCTGTTTCAGTTAATGACTGTGTTTCAACCTACATGTGAAATTGATGATCATTAGCACCTGTTTGGTATAATTGGTTGATCATACACCTGACTATAATCCTACAAAATCCCTGACTTTGTGCCAGTGTACCTATAAGAATTGATGCTGGTTTGAAGGCAAAGGGTAGTAACACCAAATATTGATTAGATTTTGATTTTTCTTTTGTTCGCTCACTTTGCATTTTGTAAATTGATAAAAATAAACAATTATTATTTATATTTTTGAAAGCATTCTTAGTTCACAGCATTTTTTCACACCTGCCTAAAACTTTTGCACGGTACTATATATAAAAAAAGCCAAAAAAACCTGCCTATCTGCCACTGAAACAGTGACAAGGAGAAAAACAAAGTGATACCAGGAAAGAAAACAAAAATATTACTAGATTGTACAAAGCAAAAAGCATAGAACACAAATAATAATAACAAGTAAAAAGGATGAATGACTTCATGACTTGCTGCCGAAGCAGCTCTTCCTGTATATACTCACAGTCGGTGAAGAAAACGTGGGCTGCCTTGTATTTAGCTGAATGAGGGTCTTTGAAGTCTCCGATGAGGGTGTGGACAGACTGAGGGAGGAGAAACAGAGTCAGACCGTCACGTTCTGCTGAGCATTGATCACAGTTATATGTGCAAACTTGATTAAGCTTATTGCCACCATGTTGCTGAAGCATTTACATTAACAGGATGAAGGCCTGAGCTAAATGAATAAATCACCAGATTAAACTTGCTAGTCACGCCAGTTAAGCTTATAAGAATTGACCACAGAGACCAAACAGAGCAAAATTAATATTTACTTGTGAAAAAAACAACAACTAATAAAACAAAAACACTAATGTCTTTGAAGCAGCAAAAAATGGGAAAACCATCAGATTAAAACACACTCTTTATATTTTTATCTAACTTCCTCTATTGCCAATTAAATAAATTGTTAAACTTTATATCTTGTCATGCTTTATTTAATTTATTGATTTGCAATTATTTATCTTTCTTTCATTATAGTAACCTATGGGTAAACCATTTGTTTTTTTGTTGTGTTGTATATTATGCTTAAGGTACATTGTGAAACTTCTACAATCTGCTTTGGTAATACTGTAATTTAGTGTCACCAAACTAATTTGAATTTGAAAGAGCAAGAGAAAAAGAGAGACCACGGAAAGAAAAACGCGTGTGATCTGTCTCGACTGAGTCAACAGCTGTGCGTCTGTCACTATGACTGACAGAGAGGGAGGGAGCATCCTTACCTTCTCTGTGGGTGTAATCAGGTAAATGGCTTCCAGGCTGGGAAGAGGCTCTCGCCGCTTGTTGATGTCCTCCACGACTAGAGGGACAGAGGGAACAAACATGTATGTAAACAGTTACAGTGCTACATACACAAGCAGACTACAGGAAAGTGTCACGGTCCAGAGAAACGATAGTGTGTGACCGTCGTGTCTTACTGGTGATGCCCTCTGTCATGATGTCTGTCATCTTGCAGCAGGACGACAACATCCTCATGCTCAACTGGTCCACAATCAGCGCCTGGCAACAGGGGAGAAGACAGTGACTATACAAACACACTTTATTACTTCTATTACATGTGGCTAACAATAAAACTGTCTCATTCGATTGAAAGCTCTACAGTAGGGACATTTTGAGGAATTTTGATTTACCTGATGTTCACTGGTGGGAAATGTCAAGGTAAAAGTCTTTAGCCTGCTAATGAATAGTCAGTTTACTACAGTTACTATTTACTATGGTACTATGGTGTGGTGTACGCACTCTCTGCCAGTTTACTTGAACCTTTCACCTGTACATGTTTCATACACTGTTCATGTCTTTTTTTATTTTGCTTGTTTATCTTTTTTATTTTCATTTTTCCCCCTGTTGTCTTTGTCTGTGACTTAAAACATTTCTTGGAAAAACATGATGACAACAAAATCTTAACTGGACTTTGTTTGGAATATACCCTGCAGTGTCTACTGCAATTATCCATTGAATCAAGGCACACAGGTTGTAATTTACAGTGATATGAGCGCTGGCCACAATCAGCTCAATTTCCTGCTGAAACAATCATGGAAAAAGCAAAAATGGCAGCTTGCATGTGACGTGCAATATCCAGTTCAGTCAGCAAGCTGCTGGATTAGAACTTAGATTTGGAATTTTGTCTTAAGTCTTGATAAAAAAGAATATCCCACACACTGCTCTTGCTCAGCATCACAATTTATTGATCATCCTAATGTTTCAGTCTCTCTAGACCAGGGGTGTCAAACTCAAATACACAGTGGGCCAAAATTTTAAAAAATGGTACAAGTCGAAGGCCGGACTGGTTCAATGTTTATTGAGAACTTGCAAATGACCTTGTTGAATGAATTGAACCTGAAATTAACAAAGCCTGCAAAGCATATAACGACATTAATCATAAAATAAATTTTAAAAATCAGGTGTATTCACTTTTTATCTGGAGCTTTCCATAGTAATTTCTAATGAAAACATTTCCCCACAGGCCAACAACAGGCAAAAAAATAATTCAGAGAAAAATGAAGTGTCTGTAGCAGCAAGAAAAAAAGTGCAAAAATGAAACATGCATTAAAGCTCAGTTTGCCACTCTGTGGTGCACAGTAGTCAATACTTGAACCTGGAACTGACAAAGCTTATAAGACAGTTTGTACCTAAAAACAACAACAACATTAAACATTAAATACAAGAAAAATCATTTGCATTTATTTTCTAAAGCTCTTTCTGCAGCTTTTCTGGATTAATTTTTAACTGACAACATTTTTCTACAGGCCAACAACAGCCAAAAAATAATTTCCTTGTAAGAAAAATCAAAATGTCCTATAGCAGCAATAAAAAAAGAAACATGCATTAAAGCTCAGTTTACTGCTCTGGTGGATGCTCACTTGTCTGAGCCAGATACTAGGTGTCTTATCTTGGATGCAAGTTCATCAATGTTAGGCGTCAGGCTTTGAGCTGAGGAAATCCTCAGGACTGAGTGAAGGTGTTCATCAGTAAGACGACTCCTGGTGTATGATGCAATGATACGCTGTCAGCTCACCTGCGCCGTTTTCCTCCCGCATCTTCTCCCGGACCCTCCCCACCAATCCACTCTTTTGACCGCACATCGCGGGCGCTCCATCTGTCGTCAATCCCACAAGTTTATCCCAAGGCAGCCCCATTTCACTAACACACCTGGATACCTCTTCAAACAGATCTTTCCCCGTAGTTGTGCCATGCATTGATATTAATCCCAAAAGTTCTTCTGTTACACACAGACTTGAGTCCACTCCGCGGATAAAAATTGACAGCTGGGCAATATCTGAAGTGTCGCTGCTCTCATCCACAGCTAGGGAGTATGCGATGAACTCTTTTCCCTTTCCCACCAGCTGTTGCTGTAGATCGGTGGAAAGCTGATTTACACGGTCAACAACCGTGTTTCTGCTCAGGCTCACATTTGAAAACACTTGCCTTTTATCTGGGCACAAACGGTCGCACACTTTCATCATGCAGTTTTTGAAAAATTCCCCCTCGGTAAAGGGCCGGGCTGATTTTGCGAACTCTGCTGCCACAATAAAACTAGCCTTTACAGCAGCCTCACTTTGTGATTTGGCTTTTGTGAACATACCCTGCTGTGACATCAGACTTCTTTTCATCTCTTCTACCTTCTGCTGCCTTTGTTTCACGTCCACGTGTTTGTACCTGTCTTGGTGTTTTGTTTCATAGTGTCTTCTTACGTTATATTCTTTCATTACAGCCACGCCGTCTCCGCACACAAGACAAACAGCTTTGCCTTTTATATCTGTGAACATATACTCTGCCTCCCAACTGCCTTGGAAACCCCTGTTTTCAAAGTCCACCTTTCGTTTAGCCATTTTTGGGGAGAGTAGTAGCTGACAGTTGACCACAGGTGCTCCATAGGGATGCTGATGACTGAGTGGGCAAGGACTCGCGCTCGCGGGCTCTCGAATGACGTGCGAACACGCTGGCAGTGCATTGTGGGATTTGTAATGTATTAGCGGCGCGTGCGGGCCAGCTCTAATAGTGATTAGATATTATCATGCGGGCCAAAGATAATTACATCGCGGACCGGACTTGGCCTGCGGGCCTTGAGTTTGACATATGTGCTCTAGACCTTCGTCAGTGGTAACTTCAACACTTCTAACAACCATGATCTTAAATAAATAATACTCCAATTATCTTGTGTGCCCAGGTGTGGGGCAATTATTCTCCCAAGGGAGTGTCGTCCAATCAATGACAGTGATTTGTGTGCACTCTTTCATATTATATTCAACATATATATACATGGAAGAGAGAAAGAAAAAAATATATAAATATACAAAAACAGTGAGATATCACATGATCAAATCTATTGATGAAATCTATTGAAATCTTTTCTTTTCCAGAATGCACAATATCAAATATTTATGTCAAAATGGATCAAATACACTTTTACACACTTTTGTCACCAAACAAACTGTGGAAAACGTGACGAAGCTGCAGGGTTTTAATTTGATTTGATTTGATTTGATTTAAGTGCTACAACACTTGTCTGGGTGACATGGCACTAAAATATCAGGATGCAGTCTTCCACATCGCTATTAGACCCAGAACTTTTTATCTCTAGCATTTTCTCCTAAATGTGAACTTCTTACCTTCCATTCTCCCTTCTTCTTCACCTTCTTGATTACATCGTTCATAATCTCTGTAAAAGAGAATAAAAACAAACACCATCAGGAATCTGAGGGATGCAAGATGATCTGATGAGCGAAGATGTTTTAATGTATTTTGTAAACAGGGAATACCCATGAATAGACACAAGAATACAAGAACAGGTGCTATTTCCCCCAAGTAAGCTAATACCCCACCTTCACAACTCCTTCATATTCATTTGAACAAATGTTGACTTACAATAAATAAATAGACATCAGGGGGACATACCGTGTATGACAACACCTGCAGGCCTGATTTCTACCACAGTGACAGCTGATGTTATATCATTTGTTGTATCCAAAGAAAGATTTTCATTTTTATTTCTGAATGATATTTCTGTCAATATTTTCAATTATATTGGAATCACAAATTCATAATTACAATAATCCATATGTCTTAAATACATATACTGCAATCATAATGCTAACCATGTTCTAAATATGGAGAACAGTCATGCTAAGAAAATAACAAAAATAACTGTATTTAGGAATAAACTAAAGAATAAATACACATAGAAAATCCTTCAAAAAACACTGACAATCATCAGCAACATGTTATTATTTTCCTGTAGATGTAAAAAGTAAAAAAGTAGACAGTAAAGTACTGCTATGAGATATATTTTTTTAGTAGTTTTAGGGATAACATGATTGAGTCAGAATCAATGAGTTTATTCTTACAAGTCTGGATTGTATTAGTCTACAATAAAGTATAAAAGCATGATTAAAAACCAGTGGAAATAACCAACATTTTTCTGTCCTACTGGTATAGGTTAATAAATCCCATAATGCAATTCTTTCACTGGAGGAAAATAACGTGACAAAGTCAAATATGGCCTGCAACAAGGTCACTGAGCACAGATCTACACGAGTGGAATAAATCCTGTTGATGAGGAGTGATTAAAAACTTCTGGGAAGTGATTCTGCTTTGATTTCAAAGATCTACATGTCGAAAATAATCTCATCCACTGCGAGGTCACATCGCGATGGCCATGTTTATACTGCAGCAACTGATATTGGCCTGATCATCGTGCCAGCAATCTGCCAGCCGTATTAGGATAAATCCATTTAGGGTGAATTACTGTTTAACATCATGCTGGATCACTGTGAATATAACCCGCTAAGCCCTTCGGCTGGTCGCTAAAACCTGAGGCCACAAAGATACTGATGGATTACCACAGATTAAAAAGGACTCGCACAGAAAAGATTACAGATCACAGAACACACATCGAGTAAAAATCAGGGATGTGTTTATTTGAGTCAGCGCTTGTGCTTTCTAAAAGAAAACATTAATAAAGTCTTCCAGGCGATGAAGACAGTAGCTGCTGATTGGCTCTTTTCACAGAAGGAGGGTGCAGCTGTAGGCAAGCAATAGGATAGATAGATAGATAGATAGATAGATAGATAGATAGATAGATAGATAGATAGATAGATAAATAGATAAATAGATAAATAGATAAATAGATAGATAGATAGATAGATAGATAGATAGATAGATAGATAGATAGATAGATAGATAGATAGATAGGATGGCTGAAAGGAAGGATAGAATGAAAATTAGGAAGCGTGACAAAAAGGATAGCTAGGATGGATGAAAAAAGAAAGGTTAGACAGATAGACAGACAGAGCTCACCTCCTGTGAGTCAGAGGAACTGTATCTGACCTCCTGTGGGACATATGGCCTAGGAATATTATTCTCACTAAATGACAGAGATTCCCTGACTCAGCTTCAGTCTATTCCCAGCGTCTTCTGTGTCCTGTTCATTTAGCTGCTGTCTCAGCAAAGCAGCAGCAAATACAAAACCGAAGAAACTTTTATTTTATTAGGGAGCAAACACTTTGGATGTGGAGTTTTTGAAAAATCTGTTCTAAACGTTCAAAGTAACAGTTGTAAAATTAAAGCTCATGTTCATTCCTTAAAAAATCAACTTGTTTTTTTCATCCAGCGGCGCCTCTAGGCCACAGGATGGAGGCCACAAACAAAGCAGCGGTGGGGATATCCGTCACACGTGTTCCCTTTTCCTCTGCTGCAGCTGATGTGTTTTCTCTCGATCTGTGCTGCAGCATTTTTCTGATAGAGCTGCAAGAATGAAAATCTCCAGTCCCTGAACAAGTATATTATAAACTCATATTTAAAAAAGGTGATTAATTCATTTGAAATATGCCACACTCATTTATGTCCATAATAGTGTCTCTTACACATAGATGTCGATTAATTAACACCATAACTAAGATTTTCAATGGGCTGCTTTCATTACTACTTCCTGTTTTAACACCCCTGACAGACAAACTCTAGTCAGTGTTGTTGTTAGTCTCGGAGAATACATGTAAAGAGTGTGTTCTAGCCTATCATGTATGTTGTGTTGAATATTAAAGCTACACTGACATTATCTTTATAAAAACAATAACGGGTCAAATTATCAAAAGATGTCTCTTGTAGTGATGGACCCACAGAGAAGTACCACCCGGCTCTGCAGCTCCCTTTAGCACTACAGAGCATTTTAGCATCTTTTAGCTCATTGTTTTGGTTTTCTGGCCCATTAACTTCACTCTCGTCACTTTTGTTCCCAGTAGCACCAGTAGCACCAGGCAGCAAATAAACTCTGATAAACCCTCTGTGTGATACTTGCCCTGAACTACAAAAACAAACAAAAATAGTTAGCTAGTGGCTAACTGCATCTTTTAGCTAGCTAGACACAGTTAGCAACTAGCTAACAGTTTCTGCAAAAATAGTGGAGCATTTAACAGCTACAGGGACAGATATTTTATATAGAGGTTGGTGGAGGCCAAAACCAGAGCTAAAAGGAGAGTAAATATTGGTCTTGAATTGATCAAGAGAATGATGTTCTGTGTCTGCTGCATGAAGTCGCTCTGTGTGAATTGTTCTGCACAATTTTAAAGCCCCATTTAATCTACCTGACTGTGTGGTCATGTGCAAACTGTCTTGAGCTGATTTTTCAGATCACAATATAGTTTATCTTATTTTTGGTCAAATGTGAAAGGTTTTATCTGTCTAGTTTAATGTAGACAGCCGAAATAGTCTGCAACCTCAGGAATTGTGTGACATCTTTCAGCAAAACTATTTATCTTTACTGTCTTCAATAATGAGCTGTGATTACATTGATCCATATTTCCAAAGCTATTCTCTCACTCCCCTCTTTCATCTCCTGTGTTAGCTTCACTAAGTCATGTAAACAATGAAACTATGATGATGAAATAGTGAAGTACACACACTCGTAACTGATAACTGGGAATGGAGACAGCACTGTAGATTTTTCCTTTCTGACCTCCAGATAGAGGCACAACAATACAGACACACACCAGTCAGACAGAGGGGAAGGGACCTGAACAAACACAGCGCAACAGCTGTGTCAACCAAACAGGCAGAGTGGTACAAACATACACACACACACACACACACACACACACACCCCTTTGGTGTCTCATATGCTCTCTTACATCCAGTTTAACAGGATACACATCCTCATGGCGGAGCAGGGAAGAAAACGAAGACAGAGCGAAGGCATAACAGGATTTTACTGTCAGAATTTTAACATAATCTAAAAGGGTCTGATAAATTTAAAAACCACATTGTAATATACCTTCTTTTTTTTTAAAATTTAAGGACACCAAGCAACAGGATTCTTTTTTTTCAAATTGACCACACTCAGAGAATCTCACCCACATTTAGCCATAATAAGAAACTGTGTGATGTGTTACTGTACATGATATTGCTGATTAGGTCAATGTACTCTCCCAGCCTTGACGCGACATGCGGCAGTGAAGAGCTGGCAGTTTCTCCCTTTGACTCGTGGTTCTCCCCCTTCAGGGACTTTCACCTATGAGTACATGACCCATTTTTTTTCTCTGGATCTACGCTTCACCGTAGCATCACTCCCGAGAGACGCTGACACTGACGATCTTAAAGAGACAGGCAGACATTTCAGCCGGGCTCGTGCTGAAATACAAGGACAGCCTTCACCGTGGCTCAGCTGAGAGACTTTTTTTGATTTTGTTAGACAGAAAAACACTTGAAGCTTCACTTGGAGGGTCTCAATTTCTGTGAAAAACAAAGGACACATGAAGCCACATCGCTATCATTGTCCATCAATAAAACTCTGCTAGTAATGGGTGACAAGGTGTCATAGAGATATGCAGAATACTGTAATGAACAAAATGGAGGCAAAAAACATGGGTGGTATTTTGCCTGAGACCATTATTTTCTATATTGAGACACTATGGATATGTTATTGTGTTTAACATGGAGCTGAAATGATTAGTCAGTCGGTTTATTAGTTGCTTCACTGAAAATCAAATAAAAATGTATTATTGTTTGTGTTTTATGTGATTGGAAATTGATTACAGTTAGGTTCTTGGACCATTCATCCAGCAATTTAATCAGTTTAAGACATCTCTTTAAGCTCTGGTAACTTGCTGTAGACATCCGTCATTATGCTTGACATTAATGCAAATAATCAACTGATCAATCAAACTGATAGTTGAAATAATTGTTAGTTGCATCCGCTGTTTAAATGACGATCCTGCAGTTCAATTTACGCTTAGCAGTTAATTAAAATCAAATACATTCAAAAATGTAAACCGGTGATAAAAGACTACATGAGAGTACCGATCTTTAAACCAAAAGCTTCTCTGCTATTCACAGCCTGGTCAGACTGGCCTGCAGTTACATAACAACCTAACCAGCCACAACCAGCATAAGTGGGTTGTAAGAAAAGCAGAAGAAGATCATGAGTTTGGAGCTACATTAGACTCCCACATATATCCAGTCACAGGTCAGAGGTCATGTTGGCTGAGGAGAGGTCATGAGGAGCCTTTCCTATGACCTGAGATGATGTGCAAGAGCAGAGATGAAGCAGAGTCATGAGACCTGAGTGCAGACACTCCGAAATTCTCCTGCCACAGATACTGTATAATAAAGTTTTTTTTTTTGGGGCTTTTTGTGCCTTTAATGGACAGGACAGTAGAGAGACAGGAA